GAAATCTCCGTTAATATCTTGTGAATATCTAGTCCCCTCAGTGAAATTTTTTGACAACTAATTTTCTAGAGAAGCAAATACCAGTTATACTTGGAGTTGGCTTTGATCCTTTGATCTGGTGGTGATGTGGGTGTGAGAGTGGGGGAGGAAGAAGGCTGAGTATACCTCATTTGGTGATTTATATAGCTCCTTTCACAGAATTAGAGTGAGAATCCTAAAGAAAACAGTATTGTTTGAAGCCATAATAATTAGGAGACTTCTTTTTAACTGGATTAAATTCCAAAGTGATCCCAGTGGCCTGCAAGTCAGAGAGTCCATTTTCATTCTGTGCTTAAGAAGCATTCCTCTGAAGAAGTCCTGCTGATTCTGGAGATTAAGGAAACTTCCTGGTGGTAGTTAATTAATTGCATGTAACACTTTAATTTAAAATGAGTCTCTCCAGTTTCAGAATAAATAAAATCCTCTAAACTGTGAAAGGAAAATTAAAATAAATGTTGATGGCCATATTGTCAACCTTGTTTGTGCATATAAGTCCATTTCTTTTGGACTGTCAATACCAATGCTTCCAGGAACATGGCCTGTATATTTAAGAGCATTCAGCTGAGTCCAAGAACCGACACTGATCTTAAACCAGGCTTTAATACACACCATGTGGATTGCCAGGGTTCCAGTTAGGGCTGAGATGGGGCTTGGCAGATCCATTACCAATAACAGGACTCAGCCCATGCTGTCCTCTTCTAAACTCAAAGGCAGGACAGCAGCATTTACTTCTTCATCAGGTGATTTCTCTCAAGGACCTCAGGGCCTCTGTAGGGAACATCAGTCCCTGCAGAGAAGTGGGCAGAGCATTTTAACACTACAAATCTTAACCATTTGGTGTGCAAGCTCATTTGTGCATTCTTATTATTCCTGTGAACCAAATGCTCCCAGAAAGCAAAGTTCCTCTTGTCTATTTTCAGGTCCACACAAGTGCTGCCTACAAAGGGGCTTCGCCATCTACTAACTCCTACCCATGCTACAGTTTTGAAGACTTTCCTGAGCCTACTAGATAGAATACAAAATTTCACTGGAATTTACTCACTTTAAGAGGTGTCAAGAACAAGCACTTTGCTCTAATTGACCTGGCTCCAGTCTTGGTCCATTTCAGACTTATTCTCTGGGCTTTTGGCCTGTGGTAGATGAGAACATGCCAGTTCTCCTTCTAGACTGTGCTATAAGCCCTCCTATCTTACAACATTGCCTGCAACCACAGAAGAATTAGAAAAGGCCCCCACTGCAGGATACTGGTTAACCAGGAAAGTGTTGGAAGCTTTGCTGTCCTTTCTCCAGTTCTCCTTTCCCAAGGTTGCAGACTCTGATAATGCCATCATAATTGTCTTTTTTTTTCTTTTCCTGCTTGGGCTTGATGCTTGAACTTCAGCCTCTTCTCCATGACTCTTGGAAGTGCCACAGGACGTGGTGACTGTAGATGTCTCAAGGCTTTAGTCTGCCCAACCACAGTGACAGGAGGCTGTCCTGAAGTACCCCCTGCAGACCTATGTTACAACATCATACCACTCATGGAAAGGGACTGGACATTTTTTTGTCCATCCCCTACCATGGCTCAGTGCTTTCTGATGGCCATTGGAAACTATCACACACCGAGCACTATGCCCAACCCTGAGCTGACCAGCAGCTGGGGTATGACTCTTTCTTCTTCACCGCACACATGGGTCTTTGCATCTACTCATTCAGGTAACTCTCATCCAGGCTGAGATTACAGAACTTCCTGGTGGTTCTGTAATTGCAAATGGCCCTTGCTCTCAACAGAGCAACTCCTTAAGGGTGGATGAAACTCTTAATCATCTTGTTCCTTCCTCTAATGTCTAGCATATAAAGGGATTTCAATAGTTTCTGACTGAACTGACTGTGTTGTAGCTGTCCATCATGGTAAAATTCGAGGAGAAAATAAATCACCAAAAGGCAAGAGGGGAGAATTAAATTTAAAATGCAGGTTTATGTCTGAGAATCTGTCTGCAGAAAGACTGCCTTGAAATGGTTTTTAAACATGCCGCATTATGGATTTAACATTATGAAGCCTTTCCTTAGAACTTTGCCTTGGTTAATATCATTGTCTTCATTCAAATGTGGAAACCCCACATATGCATCCTAAGTAAAAACTTTTCTGAAATTTCTATCTTTGTAAAGACATTGGGTCAGGCTATGAAGCGGCAGGAAAGAGAGAAAGGCATTCTTAGAGGTCAAGTCAGAATTCATATTCTTTCTGAATATATTATCTCTTCTTTCCCAATCAGACCACCCTCCTTAGTTGCTAGATAGGAGTTGTTGTTTTGACACATGCAGCCTAATAACCTAATAAAGGCAACCAGTACAGTTTTATTTTCTTGTTATTTTTAATGGCACTTTGTTATATGCAGATGGCAGTAAGTATCTTTGGGCTCAGATCCAAATTTTTGGCCTTGATTTAGTGGAAATTCGTGACTAATGAAGTACTCAATTATTAGCTGTCCTTCTCAGCTCATCATAGAAAACTTTAAACTGGGTTCTCCATAGTCATCTGATAAAGAACCTTTTATCAGGCAGCTTATTCTGTGGAAATAAAAACAAATCTAAAATCTAAATGACTTATAATAGCCAAGGTTGATTTCTTGCTCATGCCTCACATCTAGTGTGGGGTGGCTGCACACATCTTTCTTAGCCATACTGATGGAGCTGTTCCTCGCAAGAACAGGGCTATTCTTGTGGCAGAAGGAAAAGAAAGGCAGTGGCAAACAGTATGCTGCCTTCAAGGCTTCTGTTCAGATGTGATATGGGTCACTTCTGCTCATTATTTACTGTCCAAAGTAAGTTTTGTAGTTAGCCTGGCAGGGCAGGACAGGGATGTATAACCCTGTCTATAATGGGCACAACTATTCGAACAATAATATAATCTTCCACAGGCCTCTTCCTTCAAGCTCCCTCTCAGCACATTTCTTCCAAAAACGTCCAAGCTAAGTTTACATTTGAATCATGGTCTTTTATTTATAAGTGGATCCTTCGCGGCACTCAGACGGTAGTTTCAGGGCAATCTCTAAGGCCTCCTTATGTCAGAGAGACTCCTTGACATGTTTCAGAAGCCCTCTGGGAATCTGTGGCATAGAAGAGAAGTTGTTCAGAACTCATTAACCGGCCTCTTCTTCCATAGCAGAGCAAAACCGAACAGTGTTGCCTTCCAAAAGTCCGCTACATCCGTACAGTTAGCATGGTCATCAGCATGCATGATATATATTTTATGCTATAAACATTAATCCGTTTTTTTCTTCAACTTTTAAGTTCTGGGGTACATGTGCAGGATATGCAGGTTTATTACATAGGAAAACGTGTGTCATGGCGGTTTGCTGCACAGAACAACCCATCACGTAGGTATTAGCTCCAGCATCCATTAGCTGTTCTTCCTGAAGCTCTCCCTCCCAGTGTGTGTTGGTCTGATTGGGAAAGAAGAGATAATATATTCAGAAAGAATATGAAGCTCTCCCTCCCAGTGTGTTACATGTGTCCATGTAACCTCACCATTCACCTCCTACTTATAAGTGAGAACATTCGATGTTTGGTTTTCTGTTCCTGTATTTGCTGAGGATAATGGCTTCCAGATACAACCATGTCCCTGCAAAGGACTTAATCTCCTTTCTGTTTATGTCTGCATAGTATTCCATGGTATATATGTGTCACATTGTCTTTATCTAGTCTATCACTGATGGATATTTGGTTGATTCCAGGTCTTTGCTATTGGGAATAGTGCTGCAATGAACATACTTGTGCATGTGTCTTTATAATAGAATGATTTATATTCCTTTTGTTATATACCCAGTAATGGGATTGCCGGGTCAAATGGTACTTCTGTGGCTAGATCTTTGAGGAATGGCCACACTGTCTTCCACAATGGTTGAACTAACTTATACTCCCATAAGAAGTGTAAAAGCATTCCTTTTCCTCCACAACCTGGCCAGCATCTCTTGTTTCTTGACTTATAATAATTGCCATTTCAACTGGTGTGAGATGGTATCTCATTGTGGGTTTAATTTGCAATTCTCTAATGGTCAGTGATGTTGAGCTTTTTTTCATATCTTTATTGGCCACATGAATTTCCTTTCTTGAGAAGTGTCTGTTCATGTCCTTTGCCCACTTTTAATGTTTTTTTTTTTTTCTGGAAAATTCACTTAAGTTACTTGTAGACTCTAGATGTTATACCATTGTGAGATGGGTAGATTGCAAGAATTTTCTCCCATTCTGTAGGTTATCTGTTTGCGCTGATGATAGTTTTTCTTGCTGTGCAGAAGCTCTTTAGTTTAATTAGATTCTGTCTGTCAATTATTTACTTTTGTTGCCATTGATTTTGGCAATTTCGTCATGGAATCTTTGCCCTTCCCTATGTCCTGAATGATATTGCCTAGATTTTCTTCTAGGTTTTTTATAGTTTTTGGTTTTACATTTAAGTCTGTAATCCTCCGGAGTTAATTTTTGCATAAGGTGCAAGGAAGGGGTCCAGTTTTATTTTTTCTGCATATAGCTAGCCAGTTCTCCCCACGCCATTATTTAATGGACATTAATCTTTTAAAAAATATTTGTATACTTGTTTTTGCCTTCATCGTATGCTATTGTCCCATTTTATTACCCTATTTTATGGTCACATAGCATTCTACATTCTCCTTCTTAACCATAATCTCTCATAATTGCTTTTACAATATTTGTCTCCTTTGATTTATTCATGTGCACCCACCTCTAGGTTAGTCCTGTTCATGACTAACTGTACTCATTCCACACTCCTTTATGGCAATCTTGGTCTTTAGATATCTTTGCTTATCTCTCTTGATGATGAGCTGGAATGTTGAGTCCCTGATTTAGGATACATTTATGGGATCAATTCTATTGTGTATTCTCTACACCAGGTTTCTAGTATCTCATTTTACTCTCTTTTACCCTTTCTTTTTTTCCTGTGGACTTATATATTTTCCTCTTTACAGAAACTGGGCATACAGTCTTCAGTCTCATGAAACATGCAGCCAAAGTTTAAGTTGGGTTGAAGTTGGAGGGAGCCTAGAACCTACTTCTGGACTTGACAGGCCTGGCTCTTCCAGGTAATTATAGACTGAACAACATTTCCATTCTCAGGCATAAGCTTTGTGTGCTAGAAAAAGTAGAGAAAGAATGTCTCTATGTAGGTATGCAGGTGGTGGCTCTCATTGGCACCCTACGAAGTGTTTGCCTTTTGGGGAACGGGGACTGACTATAGCTAGCTAGTTACACTTCTGCATGCTAACAAATTTAAAGGTAAACCAGGAAAAAATTCAATAATGCTTTATATACATTTTTAAAATAATTTTTCTACAGCACAGTGGGTGTAATGTACTCACTGAGCTGTTTTTCTTACCTAACTGTCAAAACTCCAGTTTGAGGATTCATATCAAACTTATTTTAGTTCACAAAGAGAGGCTGTTGCTATGGGTGTTGGGAGAAAAAGCACCACTGAGTTGCTGATGGCAATTCTTTTATATACAAAACCAATGTCCACAAAATAGATGAGGACCTAGGACCTAATCATAGAAAGACTTCATAGAAGAATTAATTGATTTCTAGCCTATATATAATGCCGTCAAATACACACGTGCCTACGTGAGTGTATGCGCAGACACACACACACACACACACACACACACACACACACGGGTTATTGCTAATTGGAAGGCAGCTTGTGTGAGGTGGAATTGTGAAAGGTGGGGATGGCAGTAAAGACACCAAATAGCACCTTTCCTTTCAGCAAGATAGCAGTTTTCTTACCTATAACCTGAGGATAATTACAGCACTTATTTCATAATTATTATTAAGGATGCAATGTGATAATGCATGTACAGGGCTTCACATAGGGCAGAGCACATACAAAGTTGTCAAAAATATTAATAATTTACATTGTCATTGTAAAGCTGTTACTCAAGCGATTTTTAAATTTTAATTTAATGTAATTTTACTATTTTATTTATTAAAATAGAGATGGAGTTTCACTCTTTCATTTAGGCTGGAGTGCAGTGGCAGGATGTTGACTCACTGCAACCTCTGCCTCCTGGGTTCAAGCGATTCTCCTGCCTCAGCCTCCTGAGTAGCTGGGATTATAGGTACCCACTGATATGCCCAGCTAATTTTTGTATTTTTTAAAACTTATGAATGAATTTATTTCTTTACATTTTCTGTATTTAAAACAAATTACAATTTTTGTATTTTTAGTAGAGATAGGGTTTTGTCAGGTTGGCCAGACTGGTCTCGAACTCCTGACCCCACGTGATCCACCTGCCTTGGCCTCCCAAAATGCTGGAATTACAGGTGTGAGCAGTGCCTGACCCCAAACAATTATTAAAAGTAAAATAAGAGCTATGCTTTATATGCCAAGGTGATGTCTGAAGGCTCCTCAGTTGATTGTGCAATTAGCATTGATTATCCAGAACTGGGACTGGATCTTTTAATCCAGTTCTAGGTCCTTCCTCAGGCCACCATGTAACCCATCACTGAGCTAACTGCCTGGGGCTGCCACTACTGCCTGCAGCCAGGAAAGGCAATGGAGTAAAGTTAAACTCTTTAAACTTGTATATACCTCAAACTGTATTTTAAAAGCATCCCTTATTTGTTGAATGCACTTTTATGTACCTTGAATTATTCCTGGTTGCTAACATACATGATCTTATTTAATTCACAGAACAACTCTAAAGGTAGGCGCTGCCATTAGCACAATTTTACAGTATAAGAAAGTGAATCCCAGAAAAGCTAAGCACTTGTCTAGTGCTACCCAGTAAACCATAACGTGGCAGGGCTGACAATCTAACTTAAGCTTGTCTGGGATCAAAGCATGAGGTCTAATATCCCAGACATGAGACTATTGTAATATTAGCCATAACTGTACAAAATATCTTTTTATTTCTCATTTTTATATTTCCCCAGGGGTCTTATACCTATTATTACCTCAAATAAAAGACTGAAAATCTCTTTTAAAGCTAAAACGATTATAAGTAACTTTTCTTTACATGCTTAAAGATTTATTAAGTTACTTTTATTAAAATTTCCTGTTCATGATTAAACTGTTCAATTTATAGTACTTGACAAATTATTTTGATACACTTACCTACATCTTTAACATCTTCTAAAATTCAACTTTTAGTTTAACAGCAGAGAGCACTGACAAAAATGAGACTTCAAAATAAAATGACTCCATCCGGAAATTTGTATATAGCTCTTAAGATTACTGAATGTCTCAACATTTTGATTCCTATCACATGGATATAAGCTTGTACTTAAAATATCTACAAACTCACCTTGAATCATACATTTAATGATTATTTTTTATGCCTAGCTGAATTGATTCTGCTCCCTCTCCTCACCATAGCCTTGGCTTCACTGACACTGACATGACACTAATTGTGAGACTAGGTTTGAATTCATCTTGGTAATTTGTATGTACATGTGAATGCTGAGGTGGCATTAGCCATGTACCCATATACTAGATCTAGCAATTTTGGTAGAAAGGCTGGCAGAGCTAAAATACTATGAGGTTTTGGGTTGGATTGTGTTGAATATATTTCCTGGCCTTGCTACATACTAGCTGTGTGATTCTAAAGATATAATTTAATCTTAGTGATCCTTCACTTCCTCACCTGTAAAATAGAGTAATGATTCCTTCTTCCCAGGAAAAATGTTATGATGCACATCAAGAGCATAGTTCAATGCTTAGCATAAAATGAGTTCCCGCCTTAATTAAAAATAGGAAAATTTGCTGATTCCAGTGATTCCAAACCACCCTAACATCTTTTTTAACAATGGAAATGAAAATAAAGTAGACCACTTCCAATGCATTATGTAGAAAGGACTTTTCAAGAAACTGTATACATATATATGTGTGTGAATATATAGACATCTATATAAACACATACATACATGTGTACAGTGAGTCCTTAGTTAATGTCATCCATAGGTTCTTGGAAGCTACTTCTTAAAGCAAAATGACATGCTGTGTAATGAAACCAATTTTGTCATAGGCTGATATAAACAAGAGTTAAGGTCCTATGGCATACAGTATATAGTTTTGCTGAACATCAATTTCCAAGAACCTGTTAACTATATTAAGTGAGGACTTAATGCATATACACACATGCACAAATACAGATAGGTATATACTTGCACTTGTACATTGGAACATTTATTCGTTAATAAACGTGCACAAGAAGGGAAGGGAACTAAAATTGATCTGCTATAATGGCTGAAATGAGATTCTTACCATGTCATGCCTCTGCTAAATAAAAAAAAAATGACTCCATTCTTTACAATTAAATTAGAACTTCTGTTTACTATGTGATTATTTTTATATTAATTTTTTTTGTGTTAGTTTTTGGTGCTTTAACATAAATGATTATATTTAAATCTCATCACAGCCCTAGAATGTAGGTGATATTATTGTCATTTTAAAAATGGCTTTGAGATAAACAATAAACAGTATATTTTTAAGTGTGCAATTTGATAAGTTTCAACATATGTATACACCTGTGAAAACATGAGTACAATCAAGTCAGTACACACAACCATCACCCACAGAAGTTTCCTTATAACCCTTTGTCATCACTTCACCATCCTCCCTTCCCATTGCTCTATCTCAGTCAACCAGTGATACTGATCTCCCTTCTGTCACTACAGATTAGTTTACATTTTCTAGAGTTTTATACAAATGAAATCATGTAACATGTGGTATTTTGTGTCTAGCATTTTTCACTTCACATAATGTTTTCAAGATTCTTCCATGTTGTAGCATGTATTGTTACCTCATTTCATTTCTTTTTTTTAAATTGCATTTTAGGTTTTGGGGTACATGTGAAGAACATGCAAGATAGTTGCATAGGTACACATGTGGCAGTGTGATTTGCTGCCTTCCTCCCCTTCACCTATATCTGGCATTTCTCCCCATGCTATCTCTCCCCAACTCCCCCCCACGGTCTCCCTCCCCTATTCCCCCCAATAGACCCCAGTGTATAGTGCTCCCCTCCCTGTGTCCATGTGTTCTCATTGTTCATCACCCATCTATGAGTGAGAACATGCGATATTTGGTTTTCTGTTCTGTGTCAGTTTGCTGAGAATGATGTTCTCCAGGTTCATCCATGTCCCCACAAAGAACACGAACTCATCATTTTTGATGGCTACATAATATTCCATGGTGTATATGTGCCACATTTTTCCAGTCCATTCTATCATCGATGGGCATTTGGGTTGGTTCCACATTCTTAAAAAGAAAAGGATGAGATTGTCCTGGTACTCCAGTTTTTGTCCATTCAGTATGATATTGGCTGTTGGTTTGTCGTAAATAGCTTTTATTATTTTGAGATACGTTCCATCAATACCGAGTTTATTGAGGGTTTTTAGCATAAAGGGCTGTTGAATTTTGTCAAAGGCCTTCTCTGAATCTACTGAGATAATCATGTGGTTTTTGTGTTTGGTTCTGTTTATGTAGTGAATTACGTTTATAGACTTCTGTATGTTGAACCAGCCTTGCATCCCCAGGATGAATCCTACTTGATCATGGTGGATAAGCTTTTTGATGTGCTGTTGCAATCGGCTTGCCAATATTTTATTGAAGATTTTTGCATCTATGTTCATCATGGATATTGGCCTGAAGTTTTCTTTTCTTGTTGAGTCTCTGCCGGGTTTTGGTATCAGGGTGATGTTGGTCTCATAAAATGATTTGGGAAGGATTCTCTCTTTTTGGATTATTTGAAATAGTTTCAGAAGGAATGGTACCAGCTCCTCTTTGTGTGTCTGGTAGAATTTGGCTGTGAACCCATCTGGACCTGGGCTTTTTTTGTGTGGTAGGCTCTTAATTGCTGCCTCAACTTCAGACCTTGTTATTGGTCTATTCATAGTTTCGGCTTCCTCCTGGTTTAGGCTTGAGAGGACACAGGTGTTCAGGAATTTATCCGTTTCTTCCAGGTTTACCAGTTTATGTGCATAGAGTTGTTTGTCATATTCTCTGATGATGGTTTGAATTTCTGTGGAATCTGTAGTGATTTCCCCTTTATCATTTTTTATTGCATCCATTTGGTTGTTCTCTCTT